CAATTTTCAAAGACTGCTCCTTCAGTCGCTATGAATCAGTATTGCCTGTCGTATACTATATGCATGAAAAGAAAGGTACTTCCTGAAATAAAAAGAAAAAAAATAGAAATTTCACATGCTCACAAGTCCTATTGAAATAAATAAAACTATATACAGGTTGCAATACTTTTCGTACTACTGATAAGTTTATTAAAAAAGATATTCTCATTCAAAATGGTTAAGAACATGTTCAATGCATATATAAACAAATCTCATTCTGAATATGTAATGTCATTGATCTAGAAAATTTTTTTCCAATAATATTATCATTCAATTGATTGTGAGACAGCCACAAACTGTGGCATTGATGATGTGTCTGCCATCAATGTTGGAAAGGCACGTTGCTAAAGAAAGCAATGTTTAAAACAAGTTAAACGATGTCTCGTCATATTCATGGATGCAAGGTCCAGACTGGTTGATAAACGAGAAAAATTGACCGAATGAATTTGAAATTGACACTAAAGTCATGACAACAATCAGTTAGTACGATGAAAATCAAGAAACGTCAGATGACTTTACACTGACTAAATACAACGTAATCTATGTCGATAGATACAACTCATTCACAAAATTGTGCGTATCTTAGCTTACATACAGAAATGTCTATCTAACTGCCGTAATCGAGTTTCTGACACTAGTAGACAGACCACAACATATCTGAACTCATATGAGATACATAATGCAACAATGAAGTTGATTGAAGCTCTGCAACACCAAACATACAGTGATGTATTTGAATGCCTCTCCTCAAAGTCAACGCATAGATTGACACGTCAATTGCAATAGTATCTGGACAAAGACGGAAAAATCCGATATGACTTACAAAGTTACTGATAAATGACATTCACCTAGAAAATTTGCATTCTGGCATAGGAGCTACCGTAACTTATTTAATTTGAGGCAGAAATATTGGATTCCGTTAGCACGACAAGAAATTGTCGCGTAATCCGAAAAATTGCCTACAAAGCACCAGATCCGCCACTTCTACCAAAAAATAGACTTTTATCCAAAGAACAATTTACTATATCAGGCGTCGATTTCGTCGGTACACTTAACATCAAAGGAGAAAAAACTACTTCGAAAGTGTATATATGCTTGGTTACATAAACTAATACTCGAGCTATTTATCTTTAAATGGTTCCAGATATAACTAAAAAAATCGTTCATGCTAGCTTTTCGTAGATTCATATCGATACCCAGAGATTTGATTTCAGATTATGCTACCACATTTGTTGCCGCCGCACGAAATTTCATACCTAAACGTGACCAATGGTATGTTAGTTTTTTGGAAAGACTAGTTTGACTCACTGAGATTTGCATAGACAAAGTTTTTTGGACGCTTATGTATAGATTTACCGCTGTTACAGACATTACTTTTGGAACTTTAAGCAAACCTTTACAACAGTCCGCTTACCTATATATCGTCGGACATTGCCAATACAGAGCCGCTTACTACTTCTCAACTATATGGATGTGTATGGAAGACAAATTCAATCTTTCCCGTATCCGTTACAAAAAGATGATAAAGACTTTAAAGTGCCAATTTAACAAACAGTCATAGAACTTTGTATCGGCAAGTGAAAAGGAGATTCCCTCTTGTTGAACAATTCTTAGCAAGATGGAATTACATGAATTTCACCGAATGTCGGGAAATAAGAATCAAACTATGAAACTAGGAGATGCATGTCAAGTCTACGATGATAACTTTCCTTATATACCTACATGCAGGGTGTATTAAAATCTGAACACATCAGAAAAGAATATCCCACTTTAGTTTGGTCGGTAAAATAGGATAGAAATACTGCAAATCTTTGCAGAAAATAATATTTGTTGACAGGATGTAAGACAGATAATATTTCAATTACATTTGAGTGAAGTGAAAGTAAAGTTAAATTATTTTTTATTTATATGAGATACATTTATCTAAACGAGATATTTCATTTAAATGTAAAGTTTCATTCAGTTCAATGAAAATTCTATTCAACTTAAAAGTAATGTTTAGCGGACGCTGATAGGGATTGTTATGGCACTTATAGCATAACGTCATTCTTTATGCAGTTGTTACTCTGTACCTCAATGTGGATAACGTAATACAAATATACATCTTACATTTTTTATTTCCTTCATTATAATCCTACTTGAAAGGTGAGGGTTCAATATAGTCAATTAAGACTTTATGATGGTATGATACTTAACCCCTAACGGGAGGGATTGTGCTTGATATTCATATGATGAAGACATTATCTTTCAATAAGTTTAATTGAGGTCTGGAGCTGGCATGTCAGTAATTGCTATTAGTCCTTTGTTAATATATTTATCATTGTCATTTTGTTTAGTTTCTTTTGTTACCTATTCTGGCATCGGACTCGGGCTTCTTTTAAACTGAGTTTTACTGTGCGTATTGATGTGTGTCTGTTTCTTCTACATTGGCTAGCGGTATAGGGGAGGGTTGAGATCTCAAAAAACATGTTTAACCCCGCCGCATTTTTGCGCCTGTCCCAAGTCTGGAGCCTCTGGCCTTTGTTAGTCTTGTATGAAATTGTGTTTCTTGACGATAATAATTCACTGGCATGATTTTACTCATGTGTATTTCAGTTAATCGCTAGCCCAGTTGTCTCTTGTTCGGACTTTAAACATCATACATGTAGATATTTTTTTTCCCGTGTAAACACTTTAAAATCATTTGAACTACTAAGGCTCCCCCTCCCCCAGCATATATATTGGCTTACAAAAAGGGATTTAGGGGTCAAAATCGTCGCAAAGACTTTTATTTATTAGACATGTTCATATCGAAGATATCAAAATAAATAAATTTGTTGTTCACAGTACGAGTACAGAAGTGAAAATGTATCGTCATACTAAATATTTATCCAAGGTTTTAGATATTAAAAATAGTGAGACGAGATATAACATATCATTTAAGTAAACATTGAATAACAAAAATGCATTACAAATTGTGCCAACGGGTCAAATTAACACGAAAGTACGATTTGAGAGTACTCGCAGTTACTGGAAGCTAGTTAAAAGCCAAAACCAATTGTTAAAAAAAATCATACATCAGAGACTAAAATCAATTAAAACACATCCCAGGGATTTAGTGTTTTAACGCCATGGACAGTCAAAGAAGACATGACTTATGAAATGCCAAAATTAAAGTATCGACAGGAAGTAGGATAGTTAGGATTTAACCTTATAATAAATATGTATCATGTTATATATAGATAAAGCAATCTCTAAATAGAAAATAAACGTGGATGTGTATTTATACATCCCAAAAAAAAGACATTCGAAAAGAATACAAATTAAGTTATGTTTTAATTTGTTGGTGACAAAATGATGTTAGTGCCAATGTAAACAATATTCAAAGATCTTTTTACAATTTTAATAAGATAACCTTTACTATACCTGTTTTACAATCAAGTCGGTGAAATTTAACAATGCAATGTGTGACCTTTAAAGGGATCCCTAATCTAAAGAGAAACTACATGTTTGATATATTGTTTTTTTGATTTTTGTCCCAATAAAACCGAAATTATATTGTTGCTAGGCATTTTCCAAATATAAATGAATGGTTGCTAGGCACTTTTCCAAAATAAATTAATGATTGCTAAGGACCTATGTGATGCCATTCACCCCTGACCTTTACATAGGGTCTATGTATTAGTCCATATATTCCATAATCAAAGTATGTATGATTCATAGGTACATTTGTATCAAATAAAGCTTATTGCTAAGCATTTTTGACATAACCTTGACTTCTTACTGTTGGCCTATAATAAAAACAAAAGTGACTGTAATCGTCCTGAAAATTTGCCCTATGTATTGTATGCTTCTTTCTGTTATCTTTTCTTACAAAATCCAATTTTGACAAGGTCAATGGTCAATATAAAAATGAGGATATGTGGTATGATTGCCAATGAGACAATTATCCACCAAAGTTTAAATAAAGGTGATATAAGCAATTAAAGTCATCGATGATATTTGACCTCGGGTCAAACTGAATGTCATTTAATGCACAATAGTTTTCAAATCATATCCATTCAATATATTTTAGTTTTTGGGTTATCTTTTCAACAAGACCAAATTTCTGAAGAAAAAAAGAAAAAAATGAAACATTTTGGTTCCTGTAGCAACCATTCTAGAACCCTAAATTCCAAACATTTTGTTGTGATTTTATGACTAAAAACAGGGATACTTTATATTTATTACCACAATTTAAATGGAGGGGGATGCAAAAAGTAAAATAACAAAAATACCGAACTCCAATCTAAATTCAAAACGGAGAGTCCTTTATAAAATGGCAAAATCAAAAACTCAAACACATCTAACGAATGGAAAACAACTGTCATTTTCCTTACTTGGTACAAGCATTTCCTTATGTAGAAAATGGTGGATTAAACCTGGGGTTATAGCTAACTTAGCCTGTCACTTGTATGACAGTCGCATAGAATTCCATTATATTGATAACAATGTGTGAGCAATGTTTTGATATTGTAATTATCATCTTAATTGATCTTGGCCTAATTTGTTTTGTGTGACCTTATAGTTGTTTACAAAATAGTGTTAAAACTGTGCAGTTTAGAAATTACTGGAATAATCATAGATACTGATGGAATGATTAGAACTTTCTATTTGACTTGCATAATAATTCCAGAATGATCATAATCTACGATGTGTAATTTAAACTTCTATAGTATTCTAGAAGTTTCCCTTCTATAGTTCTCTAGGAGTTTCTCTTCTACAGTGTTCTAGAACTTTCCGTGACAACAATATATATACAGACACCAAAGTTAGATTTTAGGACAGACAGTTATATTCTTGCATTCTCAGAGGTTCTCTGGAGTTGGTGAATTGACACTTTTATTTACGAACGACATCATACTAGTTTGTGAACTTATTGGATATACTAACATTTGGAATCTAAAACCGTTAAGAGAAGAATTCCGGATAAGGAAAAGACAAAAGATCGCACATTTATTTTAACAGTAGTTAAGTTGACATTTCTTTTTGTAAATTATTTCGTGTAAAATTGTATAATAAATCTTGTTAAATTTATTATTAATTTTTGTCTTTTGTTGGCTCCAATTTATAGGTAATTTCTGGCCGTAACAGTAAAACAAACAGACATAATAGGTAAAAACGTCAAAAATTGGGGTACAGCAGTCAACATTGTAATATAATCTTAATCACTATAAAAACAAATAACTAATTCAACAAAAAAACACAAAATGGCATATAAACAAAGTACATAAGCAAAATTGAAAGACAAGAACTCAAAATTTACCATAGCACAATAACACAATGGCGGGATGTACCGATCCACATCATAAGCATATAATAAAATATGGATAAACAGTATAGGTTAAAAATATACAAGGACAAAAAAGTAAACTTTAACATGTAATTAAGATGATAAACAACGTCAGTACCAAGAATCTATACTTCAAGACCATCATGTATTATTTGTGAAGTTGATACGGAAAATTTATCAACAAGGTCTTGGTATCTTCCAATAAATCTTTTTTAGAAACAGGACGAGACATTCTTTGACATAACCTTGGCTCATCAACTTTCTGCTCCGACACTGGTGAGTAGCAGCTGCAAGCTCTTGAATACCGAATGAGTTGGGTAATGTATATCCCATATGCAGGTGAAGTTGGTATATTGCTGCTATGTTCGGAAAAATTGATGATTTCAAAATTAAAATCGTCTCGCTTGTCATATATGCTGGTATTGATATGACCACTAATGTCAAATTCGATGTATAAGTCTAAATATGAGGCGGAGGAAGCCGTGTCTGTTGTTTCTTTACTTTCTAGTTCTGGAGGATATATTAATGGAACCTAGTCAGAAAAGTTTGGATTTTTAATGGAAAGAACATCATCAATATATCTGAATGTAAAATTAAATGATCGGGCTTCTTTGTTTTTCTTGTTTCTGACAAGTGTCTGAATGAATATTTTCTCCATGCAAAATGTGTATTATCTGCCTTTAAAATACATTAAAAATGACCCCTGTTTTTTCGGTTGTGACAATACTCAGACAAAATATTTTTCATATATGGCATAGATGTTTTATAGGTTAAGTATCATATTTCTGAAAATTGTTAACAAATATCATGAAATAAAATCTGGTTTTGATTCAGAATGACTGCAAAGTACTTGTTTTTTTTTAAATGGTAAATTGTACAAAATGTAAGAGAAAACCCTTTAACGTGGTTGCCTGGCAAACAGTAGCCTCACAACATTTTTCGAGGCATTTGTCTAACTTTTTCACCTGATTATATGGTTAGCCTAAGTTTCAGGAAAATCTGAAACTATGCGTGCCGACCCCTACATGAAATGGTTAATGGTTACAGAGAGTTGCTCTTAAATATAAATAATTCGAAGGCATTCAGGAAAAAAAACCCAGAGAAGTCACGCAAGAAACATATAAATATGAGTTCAATAAACACCATATTGCATAACTGCCTAAGTACATGCTTAGACCCTTTGCAACTAAACGATGTTGATAGCATTCAGTTGTAACACGATTTTCAGTTTGATAAAATGATTTTTATCTGGTATTACATAATTTTGTAGGCATCTAGAAAGTGTTCTGTTGTACAGAAATGACCATTCTATTCCAATATTATGTATCGTGCATTACTATTTAGTATCAAGACAGCACACAGACGAACACAACAACCATGCTTATAAAAGATGAAATATGACACTTCAGTTGCAAAGGTATTTTTTACGAATACAAATATAATTTTGCATCTTGTGATTTGAAGTGTTTCAATTTCCAATGCTCTACCATTCTTCCCTTCTTACACAATAACAGTCACCTCCTGTCATATCGATCGATGTAACCCAGGGACAACACAAACATTGATACACCATAGGTGAAGTTATTTGTATATTGCCACAATCAGTCAGAATCCACCGCCCATTTCTTCTTTCCTTTCTGAAAATATCCATGAAAATAAACTAAATTATATTTATCATTTTAAAAGTTATGAGTAGTAACAAAAACATTAGTTGTTAGAAACGGTTATTTTGAGGAAAAATTATATAACTGTTTCACATTGCACTTTGCAGTCATTCAGACAAAATACCCGATCTTTGACGTATTTCAAAGTAATATTACAAAGTAATCGTCACCTGCTATTCATGCTTCAATCTCCATGCAAATCCAGACTCGATAAATTTTTTTACAAATTTACAGATCAGATCACTATGCCAGTGTCTTGAGTTCTAAGAGTAGCATATAATGTCTCCCATGTGCTGTTAGAGAGACACATCATATCGGTCAACCATTTCGTGAAAATGACAGTAAACATTGTGTCATGTCGATTTAATAGTTCTTCATAAAAACCCGGTTGGAGGATTGTTTTTCAAAAACTCTTAGTCTTGTTAATGAAGATGTTAAATGTGAACATGCACTCAAGTAATGTTTCAATAGAGAAATATTAAGTGTCGGTTGAATGATGAGTCATGCTGATCACCAGGCTTGAGAAAATGAGGATTTAAATCAAGGTTCAAGAATTATTTTGTTTTTATGTATAGGAACACAATTGTAATGTCTATTGTGGTAGCTTATTTGATATTAGTCAAAAACATATCGGCTTGGTTTGGTTTGGATATTTACAATTCTTACAATAAAATTGAGAATGGAAATGGGGAATGTGTCAAAGAGACAACAACCCGACCACAGAACAGACAACAGCAGAAGGCCACCAACAGGTCTTCAATGCAGCGAGAAATTCCCGCACCCGGAGGCGTCCTTCAGCTGGCCCCTAAACAAATATATATACTAGTTCAGTGATAATGAACGCCATACTAAACTCCAAATTGTACACAAGAAACTAAAATCAAAAATAATACAAGACTAACAAAGGCTAGAGGCTCCTGACTTGGGACAGGCGCAAAAATGCGGCGGGGTTAAACATGTTTATGAGATCTCAACCCTCCCCCTATACCTCTAGCCAATGTAGAAAAGTAAACGCATAACAATACGCACATTAAAATTCAGTTCAAGAGAAGTCCGAGTCTGATGTCAGAAGATGTAACCAAAGAAAATAAACAAAATGACAATAATACATAAATAACAACAGACTACTAGCAGTTAACTGACATGCCAGCTCCAGACTTCAATTAAACTGATTGAAAGATTATGTCTTCATCATATGAATATCAGGCACAATCCTTCCCGTTAGGGGTTTAGTATCATACCATCATAACATATATGAGAAGAACATAACCCGTGTCATGCCAACAACTGGTTTTTAAATAAATGTGTATAGTGCCGATGCAAAGACCCTATAAGTGAATCAATATTAACGCCAAAATATGCAATCTTTAATGACCTGACAACAGTATATACTTATTTGTTGCTGATACTTTTTAATTGAAAAAATTGACAGCAGGGTGGTCAAAACTGTTTGACATGATCGAAAAAATATCGTGAAGTGAAATCAGAGAGGGATGCAATCCAGTCATTTGTCGGAGTTTCACCGTGAAGAAAGATGTCATGTCCTAGTAATTATTACAAAGTCTGGGGATGAAATGAATTCTTAGATATTGCAAAATCTAAACAAAGCATGAAACAGTTAAGAAATTGTTATAACGCATCAAAGATATCATACTCATAATTTATTATATCTACACAACACGTATCAGTTGCGCTTAAATCAATCATTTGTCATCCAGAGAATAATTAAAATGTGTTACTTACGATTGGCATATTTTAAGATGATTGCAACTTCTACCTGAATCAATACCAAACACTAGTTTTAGCTGCCGTCCATCGCAAGGATTACGGAGCGCCATAATTTGCCTTTTAACACGACCACCTGAAAAAAATTATGTTACAATCAATGCAGTTCATTCTCATATTTTGTGTACCGATCTAATATGATCACATTAGTCAATTGAAGATATATCAAATAATAAAATGACACACAAAATTCGTTACATCTCGTGCTTTATTATTTATTTTCCATCAAGGTTTTATTACATTATGGAATTTTAACACATTATCTATTATCGCAATTCAACTGGCCATACGGGATTGCTATATTAATAGTGACTGCTGAAATAAAGGGTGTAGGCCAGGACTTAGTGATAATTCTTTTAAATCAGGATTGCGTTTTCAATTGTCAGTTTCAACAAGTCTGTTTAAGCACTCTTGTAAAACAGAAGAAAAAAAATCTCTTTTTCTTATGGGCTAAGACTTATAATAATGAAAGAAGAAAACATTGACGTAGCAGTGATTTAAAAGATCAATGTCCCTTATCTCCTTGAGTTATGAATCAACACTGAAATCAAAATTATATATTCATATATATATATATATATATATACAAGTCTAAATTGAAAACAACGTTCAAACCTATGATTGCGTTGGATAAAAACCGCAATTTTTATACGTGTGCATGCAAAACAAATTTCTTGTTAGAGGTGTCTAAATACAGCACAAACAACATTTTCCAAAAGACCAAAAAAGTGAAAAAGTATATTTTAACAAAACGCATTTGACTAACAGGTCGAACAACAAATGTTCTTAAACCCTGCTGACTGCCATTGGCGATTGCCAAATAAACGGATCACCGATGTAATAAATGGATCTTAATTATAAATTTAATACTAAACAGAAAACAATAAACTTGCGGAAAAGATGATATACCGCAAACAAAAGGTGCAAAGGTTTTTGTACACCATATCCGGATTTCGACAATTAATGTCTCTTCAGTGATGTTAGGAATCGAAACGGTATTTGGAAAGCCATACAATTTACCTCAATTTAGGATAGACTCTTGAAATTTGAGGAGTCAAAATAGGATGAACGGATCATATCAACCCGAAGGCAAATATAATACAAGCCCAAACGAAAAAAATATAACAAGTTTAAATTGAAAACAACGTTCAAACCTATGATTGCGTTGGATAAAAACCGCAATTTTTATACGTGTGCATGCAAAACAAATGTCTTGTTAGAGGTGTCTAAATACAGCACAAACAACATTTTCCAAAAGACCAAAAAAGTGAAAAAGTATATTTTAACAAAACTCATTTGACTAACAGGTCGAACAACAAATGTTCTTATACCCTGAATATATATATCTACTGTGGCTTCTTTGTTATTCGTGGGATACCACTTATGTGGATTTCGTGGGTACGGGGAACCACGACTTTAAATATTCAACGAATTACAAATTTTCCATAGGTTTGTATGCAGACTTTGGCAAAAACACGAAATTAAATATCCATGAAATGTAACTTTTCTTCAAACCATAAAAATTAGTACCAAAGTAAAAAAAAAAAACAAATCCACAATATTCATGATATTTTGGTTTCAAGATTTATCAACTACAAATAGAGTCTGCATGCACTATGTGTAAGACAAGTTTGTCTTAGAAACCATCAAGGTTTTTTTGTGATATTTAAGTACTATTTTGTTTCGGTGTTACAATATTCAATTTGTTAGCGTTTTTGTTTTAAATTTCCTTAACTTTTAAAGATAAAATGGTTGTAAAGTGTTCCAGTATAGTTTTATCAGTTTCAAATATAAAATACTGTTTCATCAAAATGAATATTTTGTTTTTGTCATAACTCTTAAGTCACTTACTTTAAACTTAACAAATCTCTGGCAGGTTTATGTCAGTGAAAGTTGAGGTATGAACATTCAAACAAAGAAGTGAATGTCGAGGTATAAACAATCAAACATAATAGTAAAAGTCGAGGTATAAGCAGTCAGGTATAGTATTGAAAGTCGTGGTATAAACAGAAAATCGTAGTACTGTAGTGAATTTCGAGATAAAATCAGTTAAAAGCCTCTACCTTGAATATTAGTAGGTAGACAAAGCCACAGTCAAGTGTTTTGGGGAGCTTTTTCGTAATTTTTCTCCTTATTTCCTATATTGGGATATAAAGAAATTTGTTCCTCAGTTATTCTTTAAGAAATATAAAGTAATAAGTAAATGAAATGTTTTTTAAAACAATAAAAACAAATAATTACTAAAAGGGAACCATTATATGTCCTTCTCTGGAACGCGGCGTAAACTTAAGTCTTACGTAAGGACTTATTGAAACCTCCATGGAGTCAGTAAACTTTTATATGGATAGTTCATTCAGCTTGAACACTTCAAATACTCTTTAGATATTACATTTCTTACATAAATGTTTGATAGTTACCCTACCATTTTAATTCATTAGCCTCAAAAGGCTAAAATTTGAGGGAATGAAAGGTATAAATGGACCAAGAGTGACCTTATAATGAAGACTAAGAGGTACATTAAGGGTGTTTATCATATTAGAGTCATCTTGTGTATCATATTTAACTGTTTTTTTGCAGATGAGATGAATATTTGATCATTTATTGGTGAATTAATCGGTCCACACTATATCTATTATGATGCGGTGTGATTTTGATTTTTCGACGAAATTTTCCTCAAATTGCTGATGATATCTTCAAACATTATACTAAATTTCTCTCAAACTATTGAACTGATTATAACAGGACTTGACAGTAATGCTTGACATAACCAGTATTTCAAGGAAAAATAATCACATTAAGTTTATTCAACAAAAATGTCTTCTTTAGGTGTAATACCACCAAATCATAGTACTTTACGTCCGGTGTCATACGAAAAAGGGTAAAAAAAAATATTCCCTTGAATTTGACAGTTGTAAGAAGTTAACCCTGCATTTCATTGCAGAAAAATATTCTAAGTCATAAACATAAATCTTTGGTGTTTCAAAGCCCCATTCTTTTTTTATTTGTGTTTCTATAAAATATTTTGGAAACTTGAGGCTACATGGTAACTAAATCTGGTAAACATGGAAAAAATGGCGTAAATTTGATTGGTTCATGCCAAGTATATGTTTATTTGAAAAAAGATAAATTCTGCACATTTTTTGAAATTTAACAAAAACTAATTGCGGAAAGGTTTTGTTGTCTATATCATACCTTATCTCCCATTTTATTCAGAACTCTTTTGTGTTTAATTGCATGCTTTACTCTTATCAGTATTTGCTTTTATTATTATTCTATATTTGTAGGCTAATCGTTTGGTACGCATCCGCATCTGGTGCGGTAAAATTGGTACCATTAATGTTAATATTTCGTACAGAGTGTAATTGCCATCATTTAAGATAAAAATACGGCAAATTATTCACGATTCACTTTCTCAAAAAAGTTTTTAATACATAAAACTTTGTTTACCTGCATGACCTGTTATATTTAATACTTCAGCATCCTGTGGTATCTTCTTTTCCTTATACACGGGGTATTTGAAATCCTGAAAAAACTCTTTTAAAGCCCCTACCAGGGATTCGTCATCAATAACTTTATCCAAATTAACATAATACATTTCCTTCACCACTTCTTCGTTTGCATTATTTATGGTATTATCTCCTTTGTTCTGTAAAAAGTACAGAGTTTGTGATTATTCACACGTACACACACACAGGCACATAGTATATTAATTTTGATTAGACGACAAGAAAAAAGACATTTAAATGTAAAATTTTACAAATATGCATGGTTATTACATTTCAGCAATTATCAATTTATGGATATATCACAACGAAATAAAGCAATATTATTGTAGAGTTCTGACAACGTTTTTTTTTTGTTTTTTTTTTTTCTGAAATATTGCTTTACAGAGTTGATATTTAAATGGACCAATGTTTTTAATTGCATTTAATTTGTACAATATTTCAAATTAAACTATCTGTTCTGCTGCAGATATGCAATTTGTTTAGGACTATTCTACTTAATCGTGTATATAATGAAAATAATGCTTTTTTAAATTTGGTGCGTTTTATGGGCTTTTCTGGATTTACTGCCAATTATCAGGAATGCCGAAATCCAAATTTAAAGGCCGGGGATGTATGAATGAATATGACTAACGGGATCTTAAAAGAAAAGCTAAACTATAGAATGCCAGTTGTGAGTTTCAAATACAGAAATAACCTGTTGATTGATTAAAAGAATCATAAAATGCTATATTAGTGGAGATATAACAAAAGTTAGTTATATAATAGTTTGCATATTAAATCTGTGTTAATTTTTCTGGTAAAGCCATAATAAAGAAGACAAACAGTATGTATTTTTAATTTGCAAATAAAGTTCATTTTTATATTAGAAATGAATAAAAAGAGATGTGGGTGTAAGCAAATGAGACAATCATTCAACGGCTGGCAAAAATACCACAAAAAGATCCAGAGGGCAACATGCAATCAACAACAATAGACAATAGGTTGGTTCAAGTGGCCACGAAATCTGTACTTTAAACACTATCAATTATTATTCACGATCATTTGTTTAATTATTGTTTCCATTGTTAAAAACAAATTACCATTTACTGTTCGACCAATGATGCAAAAAACTTCATCTATTTATGTTTTTGGTACAAACTGGATTAAGTATGTTGAATTTTAACACAATTAAACGCCTCTTTCGAACATCAATATGCACACCAACAATCGAATCCATTTTTATCCTTTTTAGACTTTTTTGAAAGGCTGCAACCATGCATATGAAGACTTGAAATATGACTGGGTTTTTTTTTTTTTTTTTAAAGATTCTGATTACCTGACAAGAATAACATTTTAAAATAATGATGCATTAATTCCATACCCAGCTGTGAATAAATCCCTCTATAACTTGACCAGCATCTCCTGCAGTTTCTCTGTCTATGTCCCGCAGTCTACATTGCTCAAAGGAAGGGAGACATTTCAACTGCTGACCCTATAATTAAAACCTACTATGTCACAGAATAATGAACTTTGTGCAATGTTAAGTCATTTATCAACTAATTAATCGTTGGGTAGATGCAAATTTTTCATTGCATATTATTAGAAGTCGGCATATCATTCAACAGACATAAATGATTTAGTCTCTTAATGTAGTATTAGAGCATTCCGTCATTTCAGATCACAAAAAAACGTTAATCATAGGTCAAAATTTATAACTTAAATTGACAAATTTTCTCGAAAACTGAAATTCGTTGTTCGGACTATTCATTTCACTCAATAAGGTTATTTGATTTTAACTAATGGTTTTAACTTTTTATGATAAATATAGAATGTATTTTTCGTTTGTTCAAATAAATGAAAAAATACTTAACTGGAGGGAAAATCGGATATAATTAAGTTTATAATGTATTGGATATATTATTTTCTTATGCAAAAACTGAAAACAACACGTTATAAATATCATGCGTCCGAAGCGCTTTTCTGGATTTACCTTTATCAGAAACGCTCAAAGCCAAATATTTGACAGCGAAAGATGTATAACAACCGAAAAAGTTGAAGAGCTGCAGGACAAAATACATAAAAAATAGCCAAATCCATCTCAGGTCAACTTTGCCTGAGGGAGTTGAAACAAAACAAATCCTTTGATTTTCTGAAAACGAAAAAGGTTTCGGAACACATCAATTTTATCATTTTCTATCATGTTGATATGAGCTATTTCTTTTTGGATTTTATTTCAACATTTATCCTTTAATGTTTTGTATAGTCCCGTCTTTGTAGTTTTGTCAGTGTATAATCACTTCCATTATATATAAGAAAATTGGCACAATTTTTAAACCATGAGTCCATCGACCTACAATTTTCTGTCACAACTTTTTAAATAACACGATTAACTGCATTTTGACAAAGAATGAAAATCAATTTCATATATTATGGTTCCAAATACGACTTTAAACGGAGAACAGATATTCTTTATAATGAATGAAGCAAACAGAAAATAGAATATTAGAATGAAAATATTGTTTATTCCGAATTCAGCGTTGAATTCGATTAAAAGTTATTTAATGATAACATCCAGCAAATCTGTGAATATATTTGTTAAAATAAAATTGAGTATGGAAATGAGGAATGTGTCAAAGAGACACCAACCCCACCAAAGAGCATAATACATGTTAAAATAAACTACATGTTTAAAAAAACTCTCAATAATGACGACTTCAGTATGTATACTAAAGAAATTTATCCTGTTGAACTTACTTTAAATAAAGCTAATACTAACAATGACCACTGTCCTTTCCTCGATCTTGATATCTATATCATTAACGGGAAGCTGAATACAACAATTTATGATAAAAGAGATGATTTTTCATTTCCTATCGTTAATTATCCATTTTTAGATGGTGACGTTCCCTTGTCACCATCTTATGGTGTTTATATATCTCAACTTGTACGATTCGCTCGTGTATGTAACAACGTATTAGATTTTAGCGAAAGAAATGTATGTATTACTGAAAAATTATTACACCAGGGTTTTCGATATCATAAACTAGTCAAAACATTTCCTAAATTTTATCATCGGTATAAGGACATCATTCGTAAATATAACTCAACATGCAGACATCTTATACGTTCGGGTATTTCACATCCAATCTTTTATGGTAATATTCTTTACAAAGCACAAAAATGTCAGTATTCACCCCAAAAGCTAACAAAAACTTTAAACAGACTTATTAAGAAGGGATATAGTTACGATACTGTAAAGATTGCATATTTTGGCTTTAATATTGATTCACTTATAGGGTCTTTGCATCGGAATTAAACATTTATTCTAAAACCAGTTGTTGGCATGACACGGGTTATGTTCTTCTCATATATTTTATGATGGTATAATACTCAACCCCTAACAGGAGGGATTGTGCCTGATATTCATATGATGAAGACAAAGTCTTTCAATCAGTTTAATTGAGGTCTGTAGCTGGCATGTCAGTAACTGCTAGTAGTCTGGTCTGTTGTTATTTATGTATTATTGTCATTTTGTTTATTTTCTTTTGTTTCCTATTCTGACATCGGACTCGGACTTCTCTTAAACTGAGTTTTACTGTGCTAACTGTTGTACGTTTGTTTTTCCTACATTGGCTAGAGGTATAGGGGGAGGGTTGAGATCTCAAAAAACATGTTTAACCCCGCCGCTTTTTTGCGCCTGTCCCAAGTCAGGAGCCTCTGGCCTTTGTTAGTCTTGTATCATTTTTAATTTTAGTTTCTTGTGTATAATTTGGAGTTTAGTATGACGCCCATTATCACTGAACTAGTATACATATTTGTTTAGGGGCTAGCTGAAGGACGCCTCCGGTAGCGGGAGTTTCTCGCTGCATTGAAGACCCATTGGTGGCATTCGGCTGTTGTCTGCTTTATGGTCGTGTTGTTGTCTTTTTGACACATTCCCTATTTCCATTCTCAATTTTAAAAGACTACCATCACGTTTAAGTGTGTCATTAAGGAAATTTTTGGAAACAAATCACCATTTCTAGGTTATAGTTTTGTCGTTATTTACAAACCTGACGGAAATCTTGGATTTGGTACGATTCCATAACATCATTGTGTGCTGGGGTGTGAATTTTAACTGTATTCTTTGCAAGATTTGTTTCTATGTTTTCCAAATATCTGGCATTCCCTTCAATAACGTGGTAATCAAATTTCTGAAGAGAACAAAAAACAGCTGTTGTGTATAACAAATCTCTAACACATTTGAATAGACACCAAACAGGTCAGTAAAGACAATACAAACGTATTGAACTCAAATTTAAATAAAGGCAACAGTAGTTTACCGGTGTTTAAAAGTCATAAATCGATTGAGAGAAAACCTAAGGTTAAAAAAAAAAATGACGGAAGAAGTCGAAGCAAATTAAAAACAATACAAGATCAGTAGAGTGGCTATTTTTAAATTCACAATATAAAAAACAAATTCAGTTTATAAAGGCAAACATTAATAAGCCTTTACTTAACAATGTTACATGTCAACAAGATTTGTGAAATTAAACAATTGATTGATTGATCGATTGATTGATTAATTGGTGTTAAACGCCTTTTTAAGCACTATTGTCGTATTTCGTGGCAGTCAGTTTTTATTGGAGGAGATAGCCGGACTGCCCGGAGAGAACCACCGACTTAGAAACCTGACAATCCTAGTCAATTAAGATTAGAGTCGAGCGCACCTGTCACGTGCAGAAATCGAACACACAACTTTAGTTTTGACAGGCAAGTGATACATTAGTCGACTTCTTAAACAACGCGGCCAGCGAGGCCCCTGAAATAAAACAAAGCACATTATGAAATTAATTACGATATAAATCAAAACTGCAATACAAAATTATCCTCATCAGATACAGTTATGACTTGTTGTTATTAGAGACTTTTTGTATGCCAAAAATTGCTAATGTCATGTTTTTAACCCCCCCCCACACACACACACACACCCCACCCCCCGGCTAAATGCCCCCCTCCTCCCCCCCCCCTCCCTCCCCCCACACCAGGTCTAATGGAAAATATGATTAGTAGTGCTTATTGTGTCTATCGATACATTCATTCATCAGGCATTCCAAGTACACAAATAAAAAAGGCAATCGGTTGTTGCTGCGTCCGTGTGATCGTCTGTTAGTACATTTTGTTCTCAACTCTTCTTAAACCACTTATTGTTTTTTAAGGAATTAGAAGATAATAATAAATTTTTGGATCTCGATCTCTCTGTTTATTTTAAAAGTATCTTTATTTTTACATAGTTAAACTAAACTTTCTTATATGTATACAAGGCGGTAGCAATCTTGTATTTCTTTATTCAAAGTATAAATTGACTGCGTAAAGAAAAAAGATTTTTTTACAAAGCTCATAAAATATAAACATTTAAAATAAGATCATAAAACAATATTTGAAACTTTTCCTAGTTCAATGGGAAGAGACGGAAAACAACAAGAGGACAGTCATAAACAATATGTCAAAAAACTATAACAATTTCCAAAACCTATCAACCATGCACAGAAAACTGAAGATCGAGTAGCACGAAAATAACTAACAAGGGAGAGTTCCGGAAGTGAAAACGGAACAGAATAAATCAATACAAATAATACTCACAAACAATTTATTTCAGTCATTCACGAGACTTATGCATGCTCTGACAAAGAAATAAACATACCATATTCATATTGGCCATGACTAAGGAAAGAAATAACGCATTAATCAGAATCATCAGTAAACGGTCCATTGTTAATTTCTGTAAAAAAATAAACATTCAGCAATTCAAATTATACCCATATCGTTAATGTATTACGTTGCATTTCGTTATTAAAAACAACTACACCAATTGATTTCTAAAACATGTGTTTCAATACCAGAAATTGATCTTAGCAAGTAAGATCCAAGTAAGTTTAATTTTAGGAAGTTATTTATCAAAGTAAACTCATAGCACATAATTCCGTCCCCTTTTCACCAAATGTGGCCTACAAAATTAGATTTATCATCGGATGTGTGCTAACATGAGCAACACGACAGGTACCACATGTCTTTTTTCTATATTTTAAATGGCGTTGTCAGTTTACTTTCGATTTACAAGTTTGAATGTACTTTGGTACAATGTATCTTTCGCCTCCCTTTCTAAAATTTGAATCGACTATCTCACTCACTAATTTGATAAAGTACGAGGTTAAGATTGTGATTGAAAGGTCGAATTAACACCCCAATAAATTTCTTTATTCGAAATATTAAAGCCTTAAATAAAAGAATATTTTCTCTGTTATTAAAATAAATAGATATTCACGTATAAAATTTTCCTGAATAAACATCCAACCACCTAATGTGATGCATTTGAATTGATTCATGTTAATATTTTCCGATTTAATGAAATTGACTAAAAAACTTCAATGTTTTATAAAACAAAACAAAAATAAATTAATTTCTTATGCATGAGCTTAATACATTTAGTAAAAAGTATTTTAGAATTGAAAAATTACTTACCTCTTAACGTCTTGTCACAATCGCTTTAAAGACGAAGCGTCTTCGCGTTTATACTATCCAACCAGGATGCGAAATAATTTTTTCTTAGAAAATCAGACGTCTAGAAAATTGATGTTTTCCACTAATCATATGCCACTTATGTATGTAGAAACGACAATTTCAAGTGAGGAAGAGATTTGGACTGGAAAAATTGTTTCAAGTGTGTGTTTCCTTTGAAGTGGTGAAATAGCTTTGTGCTACCAAACTTATAATTTTTTATATTTAATGATACCAAAGAGAAAATAGACTATTACATAAGACGTCAGTATAGTTAATGATGCTTCAAAATGAGACTATGAAACATCGAAATTTAAATTTGACCCATTTGGCCATGTAATTACAGGGGACCTCAACATCGTTCAAGACCGAGAGGTTATAAACTTTATGAGAAAAGGACCAAAATATCGTCCACCGTCGAAAATAAATTTGGAGAGTGTCGTCAGGTTATTACATGTGCTCTTTAATTCTATTGTAAAAAATGATGTAAACGGGAGAAATCTGACAAAAAGTCACTTGATTCCTATTTGAATAAATGTATGAATATTGTTGATATTCGCATATCACATTTCGCCCCACAGAGAGTCATATATTAAATAATCATGTCACTACCACAGCTCAGCTTAATGCCTCTCCTGAACATTTGAAAGTCCCCATTATGTATTGGTTACCTAAACTACACAAAAAACCTGTAAAAATATCGTTTCATCTCGACCTCTAGTAAGTGTTCTACTACTAATCTGTCGGTGCTTTTAAGGAGTTCCTTAACTAGTATAAAAGAACTTATCGTTAATTTTTTCGTAATAAAACATATGAAAACACTGGAGTTAACCCTTTTGGAGTGAAAAAAATTCTTTGGATGTTTTAGATAAATTACGTGCTTTTGATGGTACTTTTGATTCGGTTGACAGTTTTGACTTTTCCACTCTTTATACTACACTACCTCACAATCATATCAAACAAAAGTTTTCCTATCCAATCAAATGGTCGTTTGATAAATCAGGTTGCAAATTTATTTGCTGCAACTCATTTAAAGGTTTTTTCTCTAATGAGAAAAGTAAATATGCTAAATATACTTACTGGAGGTGTGATGAAATGATTAAAGCACTAAATCTTCTCCTTTAAAACATTTATGTACGTTTCTGCAATAAAGGTTATCGACAAATTATAGGTATTCCTATGGGCACCGATTGTGCCCCTTTAATAGCAGACTTGTTTCTTTACTTTTACATGTATGAATCACAGGTAATGACCAAACTCAGTAAAGAACCGTCTAAATTTCATTTAATTGATAAATTCAACAACACTTACTGTTATCCAGATGATACTTTTTTCGTTAAATAATCAAGAATTCTCTAACTATAATGCCGAAATTTAACCAAAGAAACTTACTTTAAATAAATATGTAACACTCCCAAACGTGTCCATCCCCCCAAACATGTCAAATTCCCACAAACGTGTCAATTTCCCCCCAACGTGTCCTTAAAAGTTGATATCGCCCAAACGTGTCCGATTTCATAACCCCTAAACGTGTCCGACAATTGTTATTCGCCAAAATGTGTCCATTTTAAAACGCCTGAACGTCTCAAAACTTTTAGCCTATTATGTTCTCAGTGACGTCAATAACATTTACGGCAATCCCATAATAGGGGACACAATTGAAGATGTCGGGTATCGGTTGGATCCTAAATAAGATAAAAAGCTGCATTCAAGAGACATAAATCCTGAAGTATTTTGGGCACAATGGCCAGAAATTAAAAAAGGAACAGAGATGAAAGAAGAAAATTCAAAACGTATTAGCATTAGTTTGTTCAACGCCAGTTATTTATATTTATCATAATTGCAAGATTGATTAGCAACATATAATTAACTCTTGACTGTTGCTTGCTTAATGTCTATTGGCAAATATTTCATACATATTTAGAGCGAACGTAAAAATTAGTTTAGAACAGTTAAATTAGTCGTTTACCAAGTAAATTATGTTGTACTAATAAACTGCGGTGATGCCTTAATTACTATATTAATCATGTATGAGGATAGTGCACGGCTGGCTTCCTGCAGAGGTGTTATCCAATTTTTTTCAACAGTTCTGATCTTTTGAAAGTTCTTGAAATTATAAAACGGTTTTCGGTTTTTATATTATAAATTTTGAGTTTCTAGCATCACTTAAAGACACACACACAAGATACATTACATACAGTGGCAAATAATTCATGCATTATCAGGACAACAACATATTAACAACAAATACTATAGGTAAGTATATACTGGATCTTCCATCACTGTATTGGATACCTATACTACATAAGTGTCCTTACAAACAACGGTATATTGCTGGGTCTTCCAAGTGCTCCACGAAACCTCTTTCTAAATTATTAACAGGTGGCGTGAATCAGATGTGGATACTAAAAAATTCCAAAGATCTTTTAGAGTACATACAATCTAAGACTCTCTCATCTTGCAATAGTATTAAAACATTAGACTTTTCTACACTTTACACAAGTATTCCCCATTCCAAACTAAAAGACAAATTGAAAGAGTTGGTATTACTTTGTTTCATTAAAAACAATGGCGAACGTAGATACAAGTATCTTGTCTTGGGGAGGGATAAATCTAACTTTGTAAAGGATCACTCTGATT